CCACGGCCAAAGCGTCTGCTGGGAAAAGGGCCCTATTTGTCGGGCATCTGTTGGCCGTCTTTCTGGACACGCCATTGGCGAGCGGGAGGCGAGCGATGAATTCTAAGCAGGTGCGCATGCGCGAGGGTCATTCGGAGGCGATCTTGGTGGCGTTCCCGCTTTGCACGCGCTGGCCTAGGCGACCCAAATAGTTTTCGCTTTTGTATGTTTCTGTGTTGTTCTTCCGCTGCCACTATGATTGCTTGCGATTGTTGAATGTTGTTGTAGTTGTTGTTGATGTGGTTATTAGTCGTAGGAGTAGTAGCAGTATCATTAAGATCATTATCTTTGATCATTTTTCTCAGTTATGGTTTTTGCTGTTGCACCTAAACAGTTTCATTAGCTGTTGCTAATAATGGTTGTTGTTCATAGTGTTTCATTGTTATTACGACTGATGTTATTATAATTTTTATTTTTGTTATTAGTATTTTTTATTGATATTCATATTCATTATTATTATTATTATTATTATTATTATTATTGTCGTCATTATTATTATTATTATTGCCGTCATCAACATCATCATCACCATTATTATCGTTAACATTGTTAATGTTGTTTTTGTTGTTATTGTTATTGTTATTATTATGATCATGGCTTTCATGATTTTAGTAATATTGATAATAATGAAAATAACGATCATAATAATAGTAATGATCATCATCATCATCATCATCACTGCTACGAACATTATAATTGATGCATTTTCATCATGTCCAATAAGTTCGATTCTGTATCACTTTCTTTAAAACACCGCTTCTTTATCATTAATGTTATTGATATCAGCCTTTAGTTATTTATATTATCATGGTTCACATTCCAGCTCCTGTTGATTTTATTTTCACTTTTTTTCATTTCCGTTATCATTGACTTGTTATTTTTTCATTTTGATTGTTGTTATCATTTAATGTCTAGTTTTTTTAAAAGCAATTTGGCGGTACTTATTATGATGTTTTGATTATCATTATTTTTATTAATATTATGATATTGCTAATGATCATAATGATGATAATAATAGTAATTATAATGATAATAATAATAATGATAATAATAATAATAATAATAATAATTATTATTATTATTATTATTATTATTATTATGATGATTATTATTATTACTATAACAAGTATTATTACTGTCATCATTACTATTATCATTCCTTTTATCATTATCGTTGTTCATTTTCATTATCACTATCTTTTTCACAATAAGTATCATCATCATTATGATGATTGAAATAGTAGTGATAATGATGATAATAATATTGATTATGATGACAATAATAATGATTATTGTTACTGTCGCCATAATTATTTTTTATCGTTATTGTTTTTGTTATTTATTATTGTTAGTATGTTGATATTATTATATTATTATTATTATTATTATTATTATTATTATTATTATTATTATTATTATTATTAATATTATTATTATTATATTTAATATTATTATTATTATTTATTATTATTATTATTATTTTTATTATTATTATTATTATCATTATTATTAATTTCCTTCTTCATTTTGTTGTTGTTGTTATTATTATTATTATTATTATTATTATTATTATTATCATTATTATTATTATTATTATTATTATTATTATTATTGTTATTGGTATTAGTATTGATATTATATTATTATTATATTATCATTATTATTATTATTATTATTGTTGTTATCATCATCACCCATTATTTATTTGTATCGCCATTATTATTTTTTTATTATACATCTACACTGTTATCATCACCACCATTGTCATCATCTTCATCATTATTATTGATTTTAATGTCATTTCATAGTAGTTTTTATCGTCTTTATGTTATAATTTGTATCGTAGTATTTTAATTTTATTACCTATACATATCATATGACCAACACTATGTTTATTTCCTTTTCTGCCGATTATATTTTTGTTGGAACTTATTTTAATTGACTATTATCATCGCATTTTTGAAGCTCTTATTCGTATTAATATTGCAGTTATTACAAGTCATTATTATTATTACTATCATTAACATCACCATTATTATTCTTATTGTTATTATTATTATTTATTATTTATCTTCATCGTCATTTTTTCATCCCGTTGAAATTCTCGCGGGGACCGTCGCGCGAGCACAATTCCCACTCGGCGGGATGTCGAATTTCCCTTCCGAGGCGCCGCTTCTCACGCGCGCTGACCCTTTGTCGCGCCGCGGGTCACGAGCGGGAGGATGTCCGCGCGGGCGTCGAGGGCGAGACCGCATGTCAGGAACCGTGCAAGGAGCAGCGGGTGCGCCTCGTAGCAGAGTATTAACAGTAGGTTGTATCACACAGGCTATCCTGGTCTACCAGTGAGCGCTGCTGCTGTGGTCGCGGCGCAGGCTGCCAGCAGTCAGAGCCAGCCGCAGGCGCAGGCGCAGGCCCCGAGCGGGACCCGCACCACCTCCCCCGAGGGCCCCAATTCCTCCACCAACGGACAGTCCCCCATGGCGGCCCTCCAGAGTGTGACGGACAACCTTCCCCCGGGGTCGCCACGCAGCCACGCCTCGGCCTCCCCCCAGCAGCGCTCTGCTTCCAGGAACTCCCAGCTGTCGCCAACCTCAGGTACTTTGCCGCACCTGCTCCGATGCATTGGTTCTGTTCGCACGTGTGTCCTCTCTGCTTCCACTTCTCCTTGGTTATTTCTCTCACCTGCAGCATCTGTAGAGTACGTTTGGGATATAATGTGTCGTAGGCCTTTGATTGATGAATAGTCTAGATGACCCTTTTCCTGATTATTATTCTGTGTGTGTATATCCACTAGCCTTAAGGATCACTCCACGCGTTCCACGTGTGTTTACTTGAGAAGGTGTCTCTCCACTTGCCAGGAGAACCGAGGCGGAGATCCTCGGGCGGGCGACACGGTGACTCCAGCGGGGACAGCAGCCCTGGGGCGCAGGGGAGCGGCGCCGGTAACGAGGGCTCGCAGCCGAGCAGCAACCTCAAGTGCACCATCTGTACCGAGCGCCTGGAGGACACCCACTTCGTGCAGTGTCCCTCCGTCCTGCACCACAAGTTCTGCTTCCCCTGCTCCAGGGACTCCATCAAGCGGCAGGGGGCCGGCACGGAGGTCAGTCTGTCTGCTGTTGCTTTACCCACTGACATATATATATATATATATATATATATATATATATATATATATATATATATATATATATATATATATATATATATATATATATATATATATATTAACATCTTTGCTGTAATTTTCCTTATTTTTTCTGTAATAATGACATTGAAATAGCCTAGACATTACTTTGTGCCAGCCATCCATATCCATGCAAGAACCATAAAACATGCTTTGTGAGATCACTGGTAAATAGACTTGGTAGCTACTAAGATGTACATATAAAGCTAGGGTCACACTAGTCTCCTCTGTCCTGGGATCCCTAGACAGCCTCGCCAGAGTCAAATCAGCTGACCAATTAAAAGCTGTTGGTGGCTAGTCTTCGGCGAGGCTGTCTAGGGATCCCAGGGCAGAGAAGAGCAGTGGGACCCTAGCTTTAGGAGCGCCTTAGCTCTCCCTGCTTAGAGCGACGTTGGCGGCGGCGTACTGATGTTTTGTCTTGTGTTTGCAGGTGTATTGCCCGAGCGGCGACCGGTGTCCCCTGGCCGGGTCCTCGGTGCCCTGGGCCTTCATGCAGGGCGAGATAGCGACCATCTTGGGGACGGCCAACATCTTGCCCCAGCACTCGCAGGACGAGGCCAAGACCAAAAAGGAGCGCGATACATAAGGCTGTGTCGCAGCATCTCTTCTGGTTTTAGTTGAAAGAAGGTCGCCGACGGTGCTCGTCTGCCGGTGACTTATTGTCGACGCCGATCGCAAGTTGCCGTGCTCGGCGTTGGTGGCGCTATGTACTAGCGTGTCCAAATGGTGCTGGATGTGGTCCTTGCTCGAGACTCTGTCCGGTTAGCGGTGGGGGCCGCGGCCGAGGTCCTCCGCGCGGGCCTCGTGGCTCCACCACCAGCTGTGTCGGGCCGCCGGATCGGGACGCGGCCCGGGTCTGTGGGGCAGAGTCAGCTAGTCCAGGGAGATCTTCATAGTGACTGTTAGCCAATATGCGGACTTTCAGTGTGTCATTGAGGCGGCCGTTGTCTGCGCCAGCTCTCACCTGCCCGTCTTTAAATCGCTGAAGGAACAACTGTGACCAGACTCTGCGACACCTCAAGTGAACCACATCATCACTTTAATTATTAGTCGATTTGTTGCAGGTGAAGTTTTTACCGACACGTGCAATTTTTGTTCATAAGACGTCCTGGGGAACTCAGAATGTGATGACGGCTTTTTGTCTCGACCGACCCTCGAAGAAGACAGAAGAGAGCGGTTGGAGGGCTGGAGGCCGGTCTTGTGCCCAGGACCCATTGTCTTCAGGAGTGTGTGTGTGCTTGTGTGTGTGTGTGAAGGGGAACACATGACGTCCGTGGCCTGACCTTTGTGGATACGCCCCAGAGGGGTCGTCTGGCCTCAAGATTTATTAGAATAAAAAACAATAAAAAGAAGAGAAGGCGAAGGCCGTCTTGAGATCGAGCTTCGCCTTCGGGTCTCGGGCGGCGGAAGGCGACGCCGACGGGGTGTCTCTGCGAGCACCCCAGGCGCCGCCGCGTTCCCGAGTCCACAGGTCTTGTACTGGATTCTTCGAGTTTTTAATCTTCGGGGTTTGAGCAGAAATGTTTGTAATCTGTTTAGGCTGTACATATACGTTACCCTGTTATGTACACGCAACACACTGTACTTCTCACGCTGCGACACCGTGTGGACGTTCGCGATTACCAAAGGCTTAACTTGTATATTAATTGATATGGATATATTACTTTAGTGTAACGTGATAACACACTTAGCCTACTAGTCATTTATGATACTGGGTAATTTTGGTACAGTATCACGATTTGGAACTCCGTACTCGCTTTTGTAGGTTTATTAATGTTCCAAATATTCTCTTCCGGCATGTGGCAACCTTCCCGCCATACTAACACCGGCATAAGTTTAAGCGAAATAAAATGGAAAAAAATTCAACTTTTTTCGGATTAACATGCAGATTAACTTCCTTCTCATACGCGATGATTCGAGAAATGATTTAAAGAGAAAAAAAAAGTTTAGTAAAAAATCAGCAGCACATGATTGTAAAACTTGTTTTCGTTATTTTGGTTTTTTTTTTTTTTTTTTTTTTTGCAATACGTGCAGTATTTTTGGAAACCGTTTCTTTGAGACTAGAAGTAGCGATGCGACTTTGTGTCCTCGATACCGTTGGGCGTGAGAAGGAGGGGAGGCCGGAAGGAGGGGATAGGGAGGGAGGGAGGGAGGAGTAAAGGGAGAAGGGGCACCCGCTTCCGGTGCGATGGTGGCGCCGGGGAGGGAGAAAGGGGGGGGGGGAGAGGGAAACAAGAGAGCCAGCCGCCTTCCTCTCTTCTCTCACGCTTTCCTTTCGGACGCGTTTCGTCTTACAAGAGAAACACTTTTAGCTAAGCTTTGGAACAGTCATTCACACTGGAAAGTCAAACGAAAAAGAAAATCATTTTTAAAGAAGCGCTTGTTTGAATATGCAAAGGCTTCAAAATTCCCTTCCAACTAGTCCTGTATAGTGTTTCGTATTTTTTGGTGTTCAGATCCCGCGGAGGGACTGATGTGTCTGACTGTCGCTCATTTGCAATCCCTCGAGGTTTTTTAAATTTCGTTTTTCTTTTTTTCTCTCATTTCGTGCGTGCGATCGGTGAGTAGCGCCTGATTAGCCGAGCTAGTAGCCCTGAGGTGGCGTGGGTGCGCGCGCGAACACAGGCGCGTGTAGTCCCGAGCGCGAGATCCCGCCCGCAGGTTCGAGTGCCCCGCCCGACGTCCGCCCCCACCCCCCGCGGGCACAGGGTCTGGGAGGGGGAGAGCTGCTGCCGTGGGGAGGAGGAAGGTGGGGGGTGGGGGGTTGCCGCTGGACCGGTGATGACTGAAAGGACCTCATCGTCTGCAGTTTATGTTTCTCTCTCTCTCTCACTCTCGCCTCTTTCGTGGGATGAGTTGCTAGTTTCTTTCCCCACTTAGCTTCCAGTTTAGGGGGATTCCGAAAGGGTTAGGACTTTCCCTCTTTTGGGGGAGCTTTTTCACCCTACTTTGAAAGACGGAGCAATACTGTGGGTTTCTGTACGTGCTCATGTAAATAACACGAAAATGACCAGCGACGATATTGAATCTTGGGTTCTTGTGTAGTAATCCCGGTGACGTATGGATAGAAAACGCACCCACGTCTAAACTGTTGTATAGATTGAAAAAGAAATAATGAAAACCAAGAAAGCACAGCGAAGAAAATTAGAAAGATTCACGCCCATCTTGCGAAAGTTTTGTGAAAGCATTTTGATAATTCGTTGCTATGTTTACCGTCCAGGGAGCAGCACTCCTTCTCGCCCCAGACCCACTGAACGTCCATCAACCTCTTTTGTCTGATCATTCCCATAATAGTGTGTGGTGAAGAGAACCCCCCGCCCCCTGAAATTAGTTACGAAACAGTAATAATGACAAAACCTTTTTTTGGAAACACTGCTGGATCAGTGTCCTATAGGCTACTGTCTGTCATGTCCACAACACTGCTTTGCAAATCGTCTCGAGCCCGTGATTTTTAGCCGTTTTCGTCCGTGCCCGACGCAATAACGTAATTCAGATACTTCGTGTAATTAGTTTGTTTTTCCGTGAAGTGGAAAAGCTCTACGTGTCATGAACTGTTTTCTTGTCTGACTGACCCCTCCCCCCTTCTCCCTTCCCTCTCCTTCCCTTTGCCTGTACTTGTTCTCTGTTCGGAGCTTTTTACCCCCCAAATAATTCAGTTCACCCCCCCCCCCCTTTCCCCCTTCCAACCCAGTTTATCCAGCTTTTCAATGTCATATGATGCCCAGGATGCGGTAGCCATGCGCGAGAGCGGGGAGGCCAATTTCAAATTGTTGATTTATCTGTGTATCAATTGGGTATTAACCCCCCCCCCCTCCGTCTCATATTTAGGTCGGTGCCCCCGACAGCATGGCTACCGAAGGATCCTCTTTACTTCTTTTTTTCTCTTTTTCTTTGTTCTATTAGTTGCCCTACGGCATTTTGTTGTAAGTATTAATGCTACTGGTGTTACTACTTTAAACTCTTTCAAAGGTACAAATGACGTAGCTCTTGACCTATTTTTGTAGAAGGGCTTTGTAAAAAATAATGGTGTCGAAGGGGTTTTAGAAAAAGAAGATACTTCTCAGTTCCCCTTGCAACATATATATAAAAATGTCCATTATGTGTTGAAACGGCGCAAAATGCCCTGCTTTGTTTATGAGTTGGCGTCCAGTGAAGAGAAGATTCTCGTCGGGAGGCGATGTCTCTCACAGTGCTGATTGAACGTTTCGTTAGTCTCCGCCTCCTTGGTTCACGACGAAGCATCGAGAAGAAATAGAAGACAAAAACAAAACAAAACT